ATGAAGTATGATATTCATATTTTGTTTTTTGAGATTTTTGTGGCCTAGAATGTGTTCAGTTTTTGCAAGTTTCCCCTATGTGCTTAAAAAGTATTTGTTTTTCATTTGGTAGATGCAGGATTTTTTTTAAATATAACTTTTATGTTCTATAGAAGTTTTAGGTTCACAGCAATTTAAGTAGAATGTACAGCGAATTCCCATATACTCCCTCCTGCTGACACACACAGCTTCCCCCAACACCAACAACCTGCACCAGAGTGTTAAATTTGTTACATTCACTGAACCGACTTTGACACATTAGCACCCAAAGTCCGTAGTTTATATTAGAGGTCACTCTTGGTGTCACAATTTCTATGGGTTTTGACAATGTATAATGACATGTGTTTACCATTATAGTATTGTACAGAAAATGTTCCCTGCTATAAAAATCCCTTGTGCTCCACCTATTCATTCCTCCTTTTCTTCAATCCCCTGGCAACCACTGATCTTTTTACTGTCTCCAGAATTTTGTCTTTTCAAGGATGTCATGGTTGAAATCGTACAGTATGTGGCCTTATCAGATTGGCCAGCGTTTTTTACATATCTACTTAATAGCTCAATTTTATTGTCTTATTCAAATCTTATGTGTTTATCCCTTGTAACTTTTGTCTACTTTGTCAGTTCCTGAATGAGATGTGTTAAAATCTCTATGATTATGGATTTGGTTATTTCTCATTTGAATTCTGTCAACTTCCACTTCATACATTTTGGACCTATTTTTAGATGTACTGAAATTGTTTTCTTTTAATGGATGACTATTTGTTAATCATTAAGTGATGCATCTCTTTGTCTTCATTAATGCTTTTCACCTTAAATTCCACTTTGCATATTCTGTCTTTTTCCATCCCCCCGTTTTTATTTTAACTTCTCTGATTCATGATGTTTTAGGTCTGTTTCATATAGACAACATATAGCTGAATTTTTAATATCTAATCTGAGTGTCTCTGTCCTCAAATAGTTGTTTCTAATCCATTTATATTTATTATGACTATTGATACACTACTTTTGTGTTTTCTGGTTACCATGCTTTTCCTTTGCTTTTTTCTTTCTCTTTCATGTCACATTGTCTAAGGGCTTTGAGTTTTTCAGGTTGACTTTGTTTCTATCTATGACTTGGGGTGGGGACCACATAATTGCTATCCTCAGGCCGGTGATTAGGTTTTTTTCAAAGAAGATACTTTTTCCACTTCTCTGCTTTTCATCTTCCCCAGTTATATCACAACTAACTCTGCTATACCCGGAACTTGCAACCCTGACTTCTATCTTCTTTTGAGCATTAAAATTCCAGATCCTAAGAACTGTATCTGGTTCACTTATCCCTTTGAGACACAAGTCTTCAAATCCTCCCTACCACTTTGGGTGTTTTCTTTGTTTCTGGTACAAAGATCTCCAGGTAGAGATTTCCTTTCTTCCTTTCAAGATCAAGTATGCATTTATACTTTAATATCTGGCATTTTTACATATCTGGAATGTATGAGTTTGTGGTGCATGTGTGTGTGTCTGTGTCTGTGTGTATTGGTGAGATATTGGATTAGTTCCTACAACAGCCTAGGCTTTGATCTTGACTGAAAAACAAGCCTGTGCTCTTAACCACTAGGCTCTACTGCCTCCCAGTGTTGTTTTTCCTCTTGGGCTTCCAATATTATCCTGGATGCTTCTGTACATTGTATAAATAGAGACACAATTTGTGAGATGCACTTTCTCCATATAATATAAATAAACATATCTGTCACATTTGAAGTTATCAAGTATGGAAAATAAGTCAGCAAATTAATTATCCTTTGTTTACCTTTCAAATGAGCCAATTATTTCCTTCATTAGCTAACACTTTGGTTTTTTATTCAGGACCTTAATAAATGAAGACATTTGCCTATTTTAGTTATAAATCACCTTTCACCGGACACCAGGGTGCCAAATCCAGACAGTTCCTTCTTACAAAAATAAGGCCTAAAGTTTGACAAAGAAACTAAAATTTGGTTCTTAAAATTGTAGTGTAAACAGGATTCTGTATAGATATGCTGACTGTTTTTTCCTGCTGTGGACATTCTGCTTTGACTAATATATTTAGAAGATTGAAGATCAACACCTGTTCCTCTAGTGGGTCTCTTTTGTACAGTGACCTTTGCCTCACCCGTATAAATACACACATGGTGATTAAGCTGTCAGATATCATAGGAGACTTTTTCAGGGGTGAGGACAATGAATCACTCCTGGAATTTCTCACTTACGGTCCCCCAGATGTCTGCCATCCACCTTGCCAGCTATTTCTTTGCCCACTCTTTTATTAAGCCAGAGTCTCCAGATGGGCCACTAATATTGTGGTATTTGAGGATTCTCTATCAAGTGTAGGGCTTGGACTAGATGATCTCCCACTAAAAGTCCTCCCAATTCTGGCATTTTATGGACTCATATTTCACTGCCAGTTTCCATGATTGAGGACAGATATCACATGACATTAAGTCTGTGCTTAGGAAAGTGTCAATGCTCATGTTTATTGCTACAACAGGACTTAACACAAAGCTATTTATCAGTAGAGAACTCACAGTGCCCCAGAGGTTTTCCAATTGGTGGAAGAAAAGGGAAGGAAGCTAACATTTACTGAGTTATCACATAGCATGTATTATCTCAGTTAAAACTTATTGCATATCAAGGGGATGTTATTTCTCCCTTTTACAAGAAAATGAGTTTGATAGAATGGAGATGACTTGCTCAATATTGCTTATCTAGTAAGTAGTAGAGGTGAGATTTGAATCCAAGTCCTTCTGGTTTCCAAGTTCTTCCACAGCTTATGCTACCTGTCTATCCATCCATCAATTTATTTCTCATAATATAGTTACTGAGCACCTACTACGTGCTCAGGTAGGCACTGTGGATACAATGGGGAATAATATAGACAAGATCCTTGCTCCCTATCAGGTTTTTTTACAGTATTAAATTATCCTAAATATGGTAGACCACAGGACAATAAGCATGGCTACAGTAAGATTCAAACAGATGACTTGATTGTAAAGATGTGGAGAGCAAAAGTAAGATCTGGTTAACATTGGTCAGGAGAAGAACTAACCCTTTGATCTGGTCATCCTCTTGTTAGGACTCCCAAAATACCCATTACATTTGACCAAAACTAACATCAAAGCGTTATGGGAGGAACTTAACCCTTCTCAGGTGTTCATGCCTCTAAGAAAAACTCTACTGAGGTATAATATACATACCATAAAATTCACCCATTTTAAATATATAACCCAATGGTTTTTAGTATATTTCCAAGGTTGCACTACTGTCACCACAATCCAGTTTCAGAACATTTTCATCACCTCTGAAAGAAACCACATAAACATTATCAGTCACTCTCCATTGTTGTTGTTCCCCACCCCCCTCTGCTCCAGCCCCAGGAAACTACTCATCTATTGTCTGTCTCTGTGTATTTGCCTACGGTGGACATTTTACATGAATGGAATCATGTAATATATGATGCTTTGTGACTGGCTAGTTTTACTTAGCATAATGTTTTCAACATTTATCCACACTGTAGCATATATCAGTACGTCATTCTGTTTTATCACCAAAGAAAATTCCACTGTCTGAGTTACCGCATTTTATTTATCCATTCATCAGCTCATAGACATTGGGGTTATTTCCAGCTATTGTGAATAATGTTGTTGTGAACATTCGTGTACCAGTTTTTGTTGGGAGAGTCAATTTCAATTTTCAGTTTTGAGTATATACTTAGGACTGGAATTGCTTGATGTTATGTTAGTTTAATGCTGAAAATATTAATGAACTATCAGACTGCTTTTCCAGGGGCTCCACCATTTTACATTCCCATCCACCATGTATGAGGGTTCGAGTTCCTCCACATTCCCCTCAACATTTTATAAGCCCATTTAAAGTAACCTTTATAGCACTTTAATAATAATAGTAATAACAACAACATTAGTAGCCAACACTTACTTGTGTCAGGTACTCTTCCAAGCACTTTACATAAATGAACTTCCCGACTCTTCATAGGAACTCTATGACATGAGAACTCTTATTTCAGATGAATAAATTGAGGCCCAAGTTCACACAATTAAAAAGTATCAGAGCCAAGACTTGAATCTAGGAAGTTTGACCCCAAAATGTGTACTCTTGACAAAGAGACAACAGGCCTCTTTAGTAATAGATAATAGCTCACATTCTAAGTGTTTTATACCCATTTTCTGACTTCATCCCACAAAATGCCAATGAATTAGGTATTATTTCATCACCTTCCATCCCATAGATGAAGTGACTAAGCCACAGAGAGGTTAAGTACTTACTCAAGGTCACATGGCTTGTATTTGTGAAACAAAGATGCAAATCCAGGTCAAGCATGCTTGGTCCTTCTGCTCTTTGGAACAGAGCTGGAGCTCAAGCAACTTCAGTGGTAAAAGTGGAAAGGAAAACAGTACTTATAAGTAGTCTGCACACTTAGGGATAAAAGCTACAGGAGACAGGATCACCTCAACACTACTGAATTCTCAGTGACACCTGCTTGCAAATATTCGCAATTAAAAAGTAATGCAAAATCAGCTGAGAGGTTTAGGAGGAACTCAGTGACATGGGGGGTGGACTTTTTTGGTAGATAAGTAGAACATTATCCAAATAGCAATGGACTTCCCCTGGATTGTCATCAGCTATCACTGGTGCTAAAGCAGAAGGAATGGCTCATTTTCAAAATGCTTTCCAATTATACTACTGTTTTAAAAAATTAACAGTTACAGGGGCACCTGGGTGGCTCAGTCAGTTAAGCATCCGACTTTGGATTTCGGCTCAGGTCATGGTCTCAGGGTCCTGAGACTGAGCCCTGCATCAGGCTCCATGCCGTCTCATGGAGTCTGCTTGGGATTCCCTCTCTCTCCCACTCCCTTTGCCCCTTCCTTTCCAAAAAAAAAAAACATTTAAAAAATTAACAGTTACATTTGATATTTTGTATTTTTCAGGTAAGAAATAAAGGACAGACTCCTTGGATAATGTACTTGCTTTGATGAATGAAACGGTGAGGACAGATTTAGAAAATACTGGGAAATACTTTATAACTACGGCTGTGGGCTAGAACTTCAAATCTTAACATTGATTTTTGCTTTATCAAATTGACAAAGTATACATGGTGGTTAAGATTATAGGCTACCATCTTTCTGGGTTCATTCTGGACCTTGCCACTTGCTAGCTTTAATCTAGTTACTAAATTTTGCTCTACCTCAGCTTCCCCATCTGTAAAATGGGCATCATAATACCTATCACATAGACTTGTACGGAGGATTAAAATGGGTGAGTATGTATAAAATGCTTAGAACAGTTTCTGGAATATAGTAAGATCTAAGTAAGTGTTTGCTGCTGTATAATAATAGTTGTAGTAACAATAAAAACTATTACACGATAATACCGGATGTTGTCAGGGAAGAGATAATATCATAAATCTTAAAATGTACCTACTCTGAAATCCCACTTTTAGATAATTATCTTACATAAACAATTACATATTCAATTACAAGTATGTTCACTACAACTGTTTACATAATGAAAACCTGGAAGCCATAAATAATGTCGACCTGCATGTCTCAACAAGGAATAATCTTTACAGGGCATTGCTGCGTGAAAAAAACTTCAGGCCATAAAATAGTACATTATAATCCCTTGTTTTGTAAAATCTGTGTATATGCATGCTTGAAGAAAGGTCTGGAATATCAATATATGCGCATCAGCTTTCCCTGGGTTGTTGATCATTGTTATGCCCTCCTGGTTATTTATATTCTATTCATTTTTTTCCCAATGAGCAGGTATTATTTGTGTAATTTTAAACCGTCATTTTCAAATGTCGAAGCCTGCCAGTGTCTGATCGGCCTCACCTGCCAACGAGTTTGGACACTAATGGATGCAGCCCCGACTGCATATGAGGCACTTTACATTCTCCACAGCCATCTGGGGACAGAATCTCAATTAGAACATCAAGGTCTGCCTTCTGCGGCCCCTTGCTCTGCGGGTTCCACCTATGAGCTGCTGTGGATTTGCATAAATGAAACGCCCGCTAGAAAGCTGCCATTGTCTTGAAAAATGGAATGTGATCAGCATGGGGGAGGGAAGGAAAGGGAAAATTTGCTTTGTTTCATGGCACCCTCTTCTTGTTAAAGCTCATTCAAGACTGCTTTGACCGCGGCTCAGTTGTGGTTTGGTAATTTCCATGGCTTTTTTTTTTTTTTTTTTTTTTTCTTATGACGGGGAAAACAATTTGAGCAGCAGTTTCTTTCGTGAGAGGCACTCCTTAGAAAAAGAGATGTCGTACAGCCGAATCACGTGCCACGGGATGTGCACAGGCTTAGAATCGCAGAATTTTCAAGAGAGAGGTGCCCTAAGGGACTCTCAGTCCAGTATTGCCTGCAACCATTATAAGTCTATGCCGATCTTTCGAGGGTCAGGAAGACCTTCCTCTGCCCTTCAAGGTCCTTCTAGCTGGACTAAGAATCAAATTGATAGGAGACAGATTAACAGGAGAAAATCAAATTTAATGGTGTACTTACAGGGAATCCACACTGACAGGAAAGTCCAAAGACAGTGAGGCAACAGGAAGCTTTCTGTGAGCTAAGGAAAGGGGAGGAGAGTGAAAGGAGATGTTTTGAAAAACAAAGGTTGCTCTATTATGCAGATAAATTCTTAGGTCAAGGGGAGTCTGTTAATAGCTCTCTTCCTAGCATAGGCTTTCCTTTCTAATATGAATCTAAGCAGTTGAGGACCAGGAAGAGAGCTTTTCCTGCATATGCTGGGTTTTGATTGCTTTTAACTCAAACTAGTGTTCATGCCAGAGTGGCCCATCTTGGGGCAACCTGCCTTCAGCTTCTCCTACACAAAAACAAAAAGTTCATGTCCTTTTTGTATTTTGTATCGTTAAACAATCTTTCTTTTTCATATTTCCTCTTTGTAATTTTCTTTAAAAAAAAAAAAAGATTTTATTTATTTATTTGTCAGAGAGAGCACAAGCAGGGGGAGAGGCCGGCAGAGGGAGAAGCAGGCTCCCCACTGAGCAGGGAGCCCCATGCGGGGCTTGATCCCAGGACCCTGGGATCATGACCTGAGCCAAAGGCAGATGCTTAACTGACTGAGCCATCCACGCGTCCCTCTTTGTAATTTTCTAAAATTTGTAAATAATTTTAAAACTTGAACCCAATATTTATAACGTTAAAAGTGCTTCACCCTGGTGTATGTGCTTGCGGATCGACCGCACTCAATGCCCTCAACATGTAACAGGAATCACTGGTTTAAGCCACACCTCCTTTCCCATAGCCATCTCTCATTTAGTTCATTATTGAGTTACTACCACGTTCCAGGAATGTGCAAACTTCTACACCTTCCTATGAAAAGAGAAGCTCTACAGATACAATGAATAAGTCTGTGGTTCATTGTGAATTAGACTCATCCCTCCATCCATCCATTCATTGAACAAATATTTATTGAGCATCCATTATGTCCCAGGCAATGCCCTAGGTTCTGCGGGTAATAATAGTGAGCTGGAGCTTACATTCTAGTGGAGAGAGAGGCAATAAATGAATAATATAAAGCCAGGCAATGATAAGGGCCATGAAGAAAACAGAGCAGGATATGGGATACTTCTTTAGATGGGATGGTCAGGGAAGGCTTCTCTCAGTGTTTCTGGGTGGACTGGGGAGACCCCAAGCCCTGGGGCCTCGAACCAGCCTGTCCTAAAGATGTTGCTGAAGGTTCTTGGTCTCGTCAGGAGAAAGAATTCAAGGACAGACACAACACAGTGGATGAGCAACACGAGGGGGGAAATTTATTAAAATGAAAGTATACTCTTGAGATGTGAGAGCAGGAGAGAGAGAGAGATTGAGCTGCATGCCCTGGGGTTGGGTTTCTATCTTTTACTGACAGTTGTTAATGAGGAGGTGGAATATTCATTACTTGGGGCGGGGATTTCTTGGAAGCAGGCTTTCCCATCTTTTCTTCTTTATTTGGTCAAGGGTTTCCCATCATGGCACCCGCCATCTTGGTGTGCTCTGACTTCTTGTGGAGTGTTGCCAAAAGAGGCCTCTGACTTTCTTGATCCTGGTCATGACTTCCTCTTTGCTGACCTCCAGGTATTCTGTTAGAACCTAACTAACTGCCTATTTTAATACCAGGATTTGACACATAAACAGGTAACTGAATGGAAGAGAGCTCTAACATGATCAGAGGCAATCCCAGGGCTGAAATGTGTTTTAAATAGCTATCTAGTATCTTTTTCCAGAATTTGTTGTAACTCATGGCAGAAAGGTTCCCCTGACTCCAGAAGGAGAGATGACCAGAACCAGTCAAGTAGCAGGAAGCATTTCACAGCCTGTACCAGAATCTAAGAGTCAAAGCATTACTTAGGCCATAGCAGATGAGGACTCAGAATGCCCATACAAGGATGGCCTGGGTCAGGAACAAAAATCAGCATTGGAACTCAACCTCTTCGGCTCTCAGGCTGTCTGCATCTGTGATGGAAAAGTTATTTGCCCCTGCTAACCTCTTCTACTCTTCCTTCGTATGCTTACCCCACCCACCCAATACAGTGATAGAAGGGTCTGGAGGAGCTCCAGGTTACACAGAGCAACATTTTAAAACCATGGGACTAGAGACTTTAAAAGCCTGCTCCAGGAAGGTATGAGCCCTGGTTGTCAGGGCATTGAGGGAACATCTAATGGAGAGGATGAGAGGAGCAAAGTAGAAGGCCATTTCTGCTCTTGAGAGCCAGGGCACAAGCCAATGGTGACGAGAAAGGGAGAGAAACCAGGTAAAAACCAGAGAGGCCTCAGGGTAGATAGTACCATGATGGAACTAACTCTGAGCAAACAGGAATGTCAAGAGTGGCTGTGTTTGTAACCCCCCATCTTTCCTTTTGGTACCCCCTCTGTTTCCAGCACCCCTGATTTAGCTTCCACCCAGTTGCTGAGTTTGTTCTCAATCAACGATCTACTAATCTCACCAGAAAGATTAATTTATAACATGTCTAAGCACCGGGTTGTCAACTGAGTTTCCTAGAGTCCCAGAGTTCTGAGATGGTGCTTTGGGGCTGCTGTGGAAGATGAGTAGGGAGGGCTGAGCAGGTGGACTCTGGGTTCCCCAGTTTTGCTAAACAGATAAATTATACTTCTATCTGTTATACATACTGGCTGCTATGAAAAGGTCCAGCTTCTTTATTTTTTTTTAAGACTTATTTATTTATTTTAGAGAGAGCATGAGAGTGAGGGCAGGGAGGAGCAGAGGGAGAAGGAGAGAGAAACTTTAACAGACTCCTCGCTGAGCTACCAGCCTGACATGGGGCTCAATCTCACGACCCTGAGATCACGACCTGAGCCAAAATCAAGAGTCAGACGCCTAACCAACTGAGCGACCCAGGGACCCCAGTCCAGCTTCTTAAAAAAAAGAAAAACTAAAACTGTCCCCTTAAGGTGCCACTCCTTCTGGGAGGGAATGGAGTCTAAGAGATACAAGTTAGGATCCAGGATGAGGCAGCCTGCATACAATTCCAATTTCATCACTGCAGTGGCCTCGGGCAAATGACTGAGAATTCTCTGAATTTGAGATTTCAGTAATTTTCAAATTACGAGAAATTCCTAGTTCCCTCCTAAGGTTGTCATGAGGATCAGATGCAGTGATAATATAGGAAGGGCTTTGTACGATCCTGCCATATAAAAAGGACAAGGTAAATGTTAGCTATTACTAGTTACATTTATTAAGGTCTTCTAGAACCTTGCTACTCAAAGCATGGTCCAGTGCTCATTTTAGCAGCACGTATACTAAAAATTGGAATGATACAGAGAAGATTAGCATGGCCCCTGTGTAAAGATGACATGCAAATTTGTGAAGTATTCCATATTAAAAAAAAACAAAACACAAAGAACAAAGTGCGTGTGGTCCATAGACCAACACCACCAGCATCCTCTGGGAGCATGTTAGAAATGCAGAATCTCAGGCCCAACTAGAGACTGACGGCATCAGACTCTGTACCTTAACGACATCCACAGGTGATTCATATGCACATGACAGTTTGAAAAACACTGGTTTAGAAGACATGC